GTTATCAGTGGTTGTATCAGAATACTATAGTATTATACAGCATTTGTAGAGTTAATTTCAGATTATGATTTCATTTTGTAGCATTTACAGCACTAATAAAAGAATATTATAGTTTTCAGTTTGCAGTGTTTGTGTAAGATTATTATTCTGTTCCATAGCGTTTATAGCATGTAGAACAGAATATAGCATTTCCATTGTTTATAACGCAATATTATAGTATTTTATAACACATACAGCTTTTAGAACAAAATATTATAGCATTTTATGGCATTTATAACAGAATATTACAGCATTTTAAAGCAGTTACGGGATTTACAACCGAATATTATAGCTTTTGCATTGTTTATAACCGAATATTATAGCATTTGTATTGTTTATAACAGAATATTATGGTATTTTATAACACATACAGCATTTAGAACAAAATATTATAGCATTTTATAGCATTTACAGCATTTATAACAATATTACAGCATTTTACAGCGGTAACAGGATTTACAACAGAGTATTATAGCATTTGCATTGTTTATAACAGAATATTATAGCACTTTATAGCAGTTTCGGCATTAAGAACAAAATATTATAGCATTTGATTTGTTTATAACAGAATATTATAGCATTTACAGCATTTAGGACATAATGTTATAGCATTTGCAGTGTTTAGAACAGAATATTATGGTATTTTATGACACATACAGCATTTAGAACAAAATATTATAGCATTTTATGGCATTTACAGCATTTAGAACAGAGAATTATAGCCATTTATGGCATTCAGAACAGAATATTGTAGCATTTTAAAGCAGTTACAGCATTTAGTACAGAATATTTTTCATTTTATAGCATTTTCATAGTTTAGAAAAAAATATAGCAGTTTCAGTATTGTAAGTATAGAATATTATAGTATTTAATAGCATTTGAATCAGAATATTGTAGCATTTACAGTATTTAAGACAGAATATCATAGCACTGAACTGTGTCCTTCCTACTTCATTAGCGACAGTCTATTTGATTAATGTTTATTTTGCTGAAAGAATGCAGACTGTATGTGATCTGTGTTTATTAGACCATGTTAGGACAGTATTAGCTTACCTTCATATTATTTTATTGAGCCAAATCCAAGAGAACAAGTCTTGGAATTTCTCAACCAGCAATAATATTAATATTAATAATAATAATAATGATGATGATGATGATGACAATAATAGCAGTAGTCGTGTTGTGTTTATTGCAGTTGCTGTTTTACGGTGAGTCTAACAGTACGGTCGCTTGATCTGACATGGCAAAGCATTCAGGAAAGAAAAAATCTTTATCAAATAGCCATTCTTTGGCTGTGAATAAAGCGAGCCCATTAGCTCCCGGCCGCTTTTGTTGGCCCTTTACAAGAGAGAACAAAATGGGTTATTCAGGAGAAGGCTTTAGATTTTTATTGTGGGTAGTGCACACAAAGAGCAGCGTTATTGTATTAAAAAAAGAACCATCTGTGGAAGAAACAATGGCTTCAAATTATCTCTGAATACCCGGTGAAAGGAAAAAAAATATAAAAAAAAAAGGAAATACAAAGCTTTCTCCTTCTCATTATGTTTGGTGCAGGGGGTGGCGGTATAATTTGACTTTTGTTGTTCTTGATGCATTCTTCCTCTTTTCAAATCAGCCCTGTGTGGAGCCATAAAACGGCTTTTTCTTGTTGCAGGGCCGCCGAGCGAAGAGGAGCGAGGAGTGCTAGGAGTGCAAGGCGTGCACGGAGAGTGAGGCTCGTGAGGTGTATATGGACCGTGAGGTGTGTACGGAGTGTGCACGTGGACTGCCCGTGCTGGAGCTGACCTGCAGCCGTGGATGGGGCACCTGAGGGATTTTTTTTTTTGCTGAAAGTTTTGGCACCCCCGGGATGTGGATATTGGTCAGTGAAGGGAATGGAGCAGCCAGCTGTCTTAAAGTGGAGGTGAGTAAGGTGCAAATGTGCGGTTTGGAAAGAGGGAGCTGTTTGTGGGGCACTAAATGTCTCTAACTGTGACATTTAGGTCTGTTTATTCTCAATTATATGAGTTGCTTGGATGTTTAAATCTCTTAGCCTATGCATTACATTTGAGTCTGTTTTCACAAGCCTGCTCTGCTTATTAAAGCATCTGTTTCTGTATTTATTTCAGCTGTATTATTGCTAATATCATTAAAAATGCCTTTAAAGTCTAATTCCATTCATGCTTGTCACGTGAGTAATAAATTAGATGCATATGTTTGACACATTCAAAATAAATGTATATTTTTTAGCCGTGCACCCAGTGTTTGCTGTCATGATGTGTTTATAACAGTTTACTGCGTGAAAAATAATAACAGTCCTTTTTAAGCTTTTTCCAAAACGAGTGTCTGCGCAAGCTGCTGTTCACCTGCGCCCCCTAGTGGACAACATGCGCACACATGCAGACACAGTCTCACCTGCTGGTTTCCAGCTGTAGATTAAAACTATTCAGTCCCTCACAGTCTGTATACATGGGTTTAAAACATTCATTTTAAACTGCACATGCTAATTTGAGGTGTTTAGCTGTTTGCTAAGTTGTAACCGAGAGTTGTTATTGATGTTGATGTGTTTGGCTGTCAGTATTTAAGCCTGTATGATGGTATGGAGGTTGAAAATGAAGAATGAAGTTCACTGCTTTCACTCTCTTTATGTTTTTTGCATGTTTGGCCTGCAGCCTGTTTTCTGCTAACTAGGTCTGCACTTGTTTTTCACGAAAAGGCTCTTGTGCTGTTGTTATCGTTAAAGCTGTAATGCAATGTGCACTATAGTGTGTCAATTAAGAAAAGTGTGGCTAAGGAGGACACACACACAGTGAGATGATGGTGATTCCCTGCTGTTCAGTGCATTTCCATAAGCAGATTAAGGCCCGAATGCACAGAGAGAGAGAGAGAGAGGGTGTGTGTGTGTCTGATCTTCACTTATAGAAACTCACCGCAGTGCTGCCCACTTCACTCACTCTAATCACATTCAAATATGTGCTGAATGTTGTATGACTTTCAATGTTTTGTTGATTTTTTACATTTACTTTACAAAAGCTGTGATCTGATCTCAAATTATCAAATATTTATTTTTTATATTTGGCCTGGTAAAAACTTTGAAGTTGAATTTGTTTAGGCCTGTTTATTTGCAGTCTCCTTTAATTTCCTATTATATTTCAACACATTTCTCTCGTACTTCCGTCATTTTCACTACACGTGATTTCACACAAGTTTACTGCCTGTTTTAATTTCCACAAAACTTCAACGCTTTAGCTCAAACTCCAAGATTTTAGTCCTAATCCAGATGTTTCACTCCAAACTGCAACATTTTAGTTCAAACTTAAATACTTCACTTCGGATGCCAAAAAGTGAGCCAACGTTTGCAACATTTCCAACTAAACTGTAACATATTAGTTTAAATTCTTATATTTTTGTCCAAATCCTAGAATTTCAGTCCATATTGCAACATTTCAGCCCAAATTGTTACATTTTAGTCCAAATCCTATTATATAGTCTGTACTATAACATTTTAGCCCAAATTTAGCCCAACATTTCCTTCAAATACAAACATTTTTAGACCAGGTCTCATTTTTTTTATTACAAACTGCAACCATTTAGTTTAGACCCCATTTAGTCTTAAATCTGGACACGTTTAGTCCATACTATGCTATTGTAGCCCAAATTTAGCACAACATTTACTTCAAATACAAACATTTTTAGCCCAGGTGTCAATTTTTGTATTACAAACTGCAACCATTTAGTTCAGACCCCATTTAGTCCAAATCCTGATATTTTACGGTGCATCATTTCACCCCAAACTGTAACACTTTTAGTCCACATCCCAACATGTTTAGTTCATACTATAGCATTTCATCCAACACACCTTAAATACAAACATCTCAACTTTCTTTACAAACTGCGACCGTTTATTTCAGACCCCATTTAGTCCAAATCCCAAAATTCTACTACAAACTTCAAAATTTTAGTTGAAATCCCAAAACTTTGGTTGAAATCCCAACAACATTCCCAATCCCCCACATTCCCAGCCCAAACTCCTCTGCTCAGACTGAACTTCTTTCCGGCTCAGAGAGGCTCGGGCGCTTCTTGCGCCTTTAGTCAGTCCGGCCGGGAGAGGGCGCTGTTGAAACACAGTGAGCGCCTCATCGGCTCGTGCGTTTTGTGAATTAAAAGTGATCTGATTGCACGTGTTTGTCTCGACAATAAGCCTTGTTTGTAGGCCAGATCAGCTCCACTTCCCTCATAAAGAGTTCTGTTCTGTGAATAGTTTATTTATAACTCAGACTGACACTCTGCGGGCCTCGCGCGGCTTCACGAGCGCTTTAAAAGCAGCAGAGGAGCCCTGAGCGCCTAATGTCCGGCTCATACGAAGAGCTCGCCTGCTCTGAAGTGTCTGGGTGGAAAGCAGAGCTGTTGATTTCACTTTAAACTCCATTTTCTGCCTTTTTTTTTGGATTCTGACCACAATACAGATTCTTTCACATCCAGTCAGTGCTGCTCCTCTTTGTCGGGGTCAGAAATGTGCTGACTGTCCTTTACTGATTCAGTTCCTGATTTTATTTTCCTCTGGTCACAGTATGGACTTTAGAGTAGCATCAGGTGCTCAGCAGCAACTGACCGAGCCAATAATACCAACTATAATACTAGTTGTTCTTGTTTGAATACGAAGTCTGTTACAGAAGCTGGTGAACTTTTTGCTCTGCTACAATTTTGACCATTGCAGACCGTTGAGTTGGTGCAGATTAGGGCCAGTTCAGCACAATAAAGCACTGACCTCACTGCAGATGTTTGACCAGGACTTGTCGAATATATTCTGAGCAGTGTGTGTGTGAGAGAGAGAGTGAGTGTGTGCGTGTGATTTCTCTACAAACTCTGCTGGGAAAGCCACTCCAGCCTCCCATGCCCCGCCCCTTTATGCTAATGAAGCCACCCAACCCCGCGCTGCCATTGGTCAGGTGCGAAACCATTTATATTGGCTGACAGTCCTTCCACGTGAACGGTTGTCTATTAACTTGTACCAAAAGTATCTGGAGTTGTCAAGGCTCCGCGTGGAAAAAGGGGGCAAAAAAACCTCAATTTTGTTGATTCTTTTTGAAGACTTGAGAAGTTTGTGGGCAAAACAGGACAGGAGGAAAAGGGGGAAAGACGAAGGGGAAACAGCAGAGAAACTCACCCCAGCGCGCGCGGGCTGAAGGGGGGACTCCAGCAGCAGCAGCACAACCGACCGCTTGGACTTGGGTTTGTTGTTGGTGTGTTTTTTGTTTTTGTTTTTTTTTTTTTTTTTTTCTTTTGCTACTTTCTTGAACTTCTGCTGCTTCTTCTTCTTCTTCTTGGCCGAGGGAAGGCTTTCTGACACCGCCGTGTAAATGTATAGCATGATGGAGACCGAGCTGAAGCCCCCGGCCCCTCAGCCCAACGCTGGGGCCACGGGGAACGGCAACAACCCCGGGGGCAACAACCAGAAGAGCACCCCGGAGAGGGTCAAGAGACCCATGAACGCCTTCATGGTGTGGTCCCGGGGCCAGCGCAGGAAGATGGCCCAGGAGAACCCCAAAATGCACAACTCGGAGATCAGCAAGAGGCTGGGGGCCGAGTGGAAGCTGCTGTCCGAGTCCGAGAAGAGACCCTTCATCGACGAGGCCAAGAGGCTGCGCGCCTTGCACATGAAGGAGCACCCGGATTACAAGTACCGGCCGCGCAGGAAAACCAAGACGCTGATGAAGAAGGACAAGTACGCGCTGCCCGGCGGGCTCCTGGCGCCCGGAGGCGGCGGCGTCGGCGGCGTCGGGGTGGGCGTCGGAGTCGGAGTCGGCGTCGGGGTCGGGGTCGGCTCCGGCGTCGGGGCCGGCATGAACCAGCGGATGGACGGCTACGCGCACATGAACGGCTGGAGCAACGGCGGCTACGGCATGATGCAGGACCAGCTGGGCTACGCGCAGCACGCCGGCCTCAACGCGCCCATGCAGACCACGGCCACGGCGCCCGTGCACCGGTACGACATGAGCGCGCTCCAGTACGGCTCCATGACGAGCGCGCAGACGTACATGAACGGCTCGCCCACGTACAGCAGCATGGCGTACTCGCAGCAGCAGAGCGGACCCCCCATGAGCCTGCACGGCTCCATGAGCTCGGGGGTGAAGTCCGAGTCCAGCGCGAGTCCCCCGGCCGTGGTCACCTCCAGCTCGCACTCGCGCGCCGCCGCAGCGCAGCCGTGCCAGACAGGCGATCTGAGGGACATGATCAGCATGTACCTTCCCGGGGCGGAGGTGCAGGAGCAAACGGGCCAAAGCAGACTGCACCTGTCCCAGCACTACCAGGGCGCACCTGTGCACGGGACGACCATCAACGGCACGCTGCCCTTAACGCACATGTAGACGTGGACACTTTGGACGCATTGCGCAAAACACTTGGACTGGACTACTACCGCTATTATTATTATTATAATTATTATAATTATTATTATTATTATTTTTGTACAGAACGTTTCTTTCTTTTTTCTTTTTTTGGTGAGGGAAAACTTGTACAGGACTCGAGGAATGAACACAGAACACAGCCACCCTCCCTCCCCCACCTTTTTTTTGCTTTCTATTTTAAAGAAAGACGCTGAACGGTAGGAACACCGCAAATTTTTTAATTATCTTTTTGTGTCATATTTTCTTTTTGTTTTCAACATTGAAATGAGGGGGGAGGGGAGAAATGTTTTATTATTGCAATCGACCTTTTTGTACAGTATTTATCAAAGACACATAACAATCAGTTGTAATGTTTGTAAACTATACAAAAAGTTACATTTTTTATAAAAGTAAAAAAAAAACCATATGAATGAATTGTGGCTCCAAAATGATACGTGTTTCTCCTTGAGGGTAAATAGTACTAAAAAAAAATAAAGTGAAAATAAAAACAACAACAACAACAACAAAGACAGCAAATTTTAATTTAGTTTTAAATGATGAAACATACGCACGTTACTTTATACTTTTTGTTTAGTCTCCAACCCTCCATCTGTTAGAGATATGAAGTTTGTGTTCTTTATTTTCTCATGGTTTGTAAATTTTATGTACATTTACTGTGATATTTTAAGTTTAAATTTTTTTTTTTTATTTCTTTTCTTTTCTTTTGCGTAGTTGTATTTTAAAATGTGGCCTGTACGCAGATGCCAACACTCCATGTACATATATTTGAACTAATAGCACCATAACAGTTACAATTTCAGCTGAGTTTTTTTTTCAATATGCAGTTTGAAATGAATAAATTTTTGAAATTTGGATATTTGAAATCGTTTTGGCTTTTGATTTTATTTCTCATTTCTGTTTGTTTGGTTTTCCTGTCATCCAGTACACAAAATTACTAATAGATGCCAGTAATTTAATATGCATTCATAATCACTACACAAAACTAAAATTGTAGGACTCAAGTTCTGCTATCAGTGTTTTCTAATTAGAAATGCGCAAAGTGCGGCTCATTGACAGTAAGTATTTGGAAAATCCTTCTTAAGCTCTTATAAGCAAAGCAGCTGTATGAGTGAGTGTGTGTGTGTGTGCGCGCGCGTGTGTGTGTGCGCGCGTGTGTGTGTGTGTTTGTAAGCTTTGCATACACATTAATGACTGTGTTGAGCTTTAAATTGAGCCTTAACCACGTTTTCTATATTTTCTATGTTTCTGTATTTAGGCTCCTCCGTTCGCTTCTTTTGCCTGTAAAGCTGCGCTCTGGTGGGGCTGAGAAACCAAGAAAAAGTCTGAAGACCCACAACCAGGTAGTCATTATTTGTTTACAATATTTTAAATCTAAAAAACCCCAACCGCAATTTTCAAAAATGTCTTTCGTTAGTTTAGCGACATTTTCAGCGCTTATATGACTTAAATTCTGCTGTATTTGATGCCAACATCTCAATCTTAAATCTTTTCTGAGCCATTTTAAATAATATATTCAGCACTTTATCATCTTAAACCAAAAAAATAGAAGTTGCAATATTTTCACAATTATTATTATTTTTCAAAGTTACGGTCAATTGTAATTTTGCGGTTCCCTCTTTTCAGCTCATGTAATTCAATATTTCCGTTTATCCAACTATTTTAATAATTGTGGCTAAATTAACACCACATTTTCATTCGTCTGTCAACAATTCTGCACTAAAACAAGTGTATAATTTATTTTCCAGCATTTAACGCGCTGGTTAAAATATCGAGCAACTCAAACCAAGATTACGATTGATCTAATAACAGAAGTAAAGTGATTATATAAAAAAAATCTTATGTTTTTACAGTGCACGTGCCTGTAAGCTGTAAAGGGGAAAACCAGGAGAAACACCTGAACATCTCCGGCACTGTGGAGCTGTGAGTAACGCTGTGAACCTTCTAAACATCCAAATATTAATAGTAATATTAAATAGCAAAAGTTTTGCTCTTCAGCATGTTGGTTCTTGCGTGGTTCCTAGCTCCTTGTAGCTTTAGAAAAACCGCTAACTGGCCTAGAACCTTCTTCAAACCTTCTTCCTTCCATTTCAAGCTGTAAAAATGGATTCAATGATTTAACTTAAAAGTAAGAGGATTTTTTAGTTCATTGAAAGTCTAATGGTAGATTGACTGAACAATAATGTGTTTTACATCCTGTTAACTTATTATGTGATGTTCAATGAACTCAAAATTTTAAGGGAATTTTTGGTTGAAACATTGAATTATTTTTACGGTGTAATTTCGGGTGATTCTTCTATGGCATCGCTCCAATTTTCCATTTCCACACTTTATAAGCGCAACTCTAAAAAGCCTAAAGAGCTTTTTAGACAGTTTTTAAACCACGATTGGTTCGTAAACATTGCAGTGTCTCGCATAAACTTCCACAAATACAAAGATGTGAACAAAAACTCGTGTTTGAAAAGCCTGTTTATTCTTTCACGGTTGATTGTCATGCGCAGAGGAGGCTTTGGCGTGAAAGGCCCAAGATAAGGCTGAGGCAGAGCGCGCGAATGCAGGGCAGGTTTATGTTTGTATGTTTTTAGTGGGAATTTTTTTTGGTGCTGTTGGTTTGAAATCTGGCTGGGTTCGCGTGCAGCGCAGTTGTGGCCCTGTTGCTTTTTCCTTTCATTCCCAGCGGCCCTCAGGGGAGAGCAGCTCACATTAACAGCTAAATGAATATTTGACGAGGGCTCATTGCGGAGTATTATTCCTACAAACGGGTCCCTGCTGGACTCTCTAAGGGTCAGAGAGCACTGGTTCAATTCATTATTCAACACCAGCGCTGGAAACGGCCGCGCGCGCGCTCACTGCGCGCTGATAAAGTGGGGATGGAGAGGGCGCATGGAGGATTAGCCATAGATCCATGGATCCACAACAGTGGTGGAATGAGGAGAACCAGCAGAACGCAGTTTCATGTTTATTAATTATTATTTAAAGTTAAAGTTGCTGAAAAGTTGCTTTAAATTTACATGATTGAAATATGTATATTGGCTCTACATGTAACATCAAAATAATTACTATTATTTCATTTAACTTACTTAAGTTGATGTAACATATTGCACTTTTCCCCCCCTGAATTCTACGTGAAGCTGAACTTTTCTCAAAATCCGTTTCAAGTTACGTCAAAATTGATCGGTAATTATGATCAAACATATTGAACATAATTAGGCGGATAGAACAGCTGCCATTGGCTGCCTTACATTCTCCAATAACGTAACTACATCTAAGCTCATTTACAAGATTTACCTTTACATTTACATTACGCGCATATTATACATCTAGTACACATATATTATACACTAACAATGCCATTATTATTATCACGCTATTTTCTTGTGCCCGAGCAGAATTAGAGCCCGTATCTAAGCCGTGGGGGCTGTTTTTTGGAGGGTGCAGCAGCAGCAACAGGTGGTGAGCGCTCTAACTTTCCCTTTAATACCTGCTCTAGTGTCTCCATTCACTCGTGCTGGTGAGGGATGCTGAGGACTGGACTGTGCTCGTTAATGAGAAATTGTTGCTGGGGAAATAAAGGGCTGTCTGTAGGCGAGCGAGCGCGCGCTATAGAGATTTTAAGGAATCTGATAAGGGCAGTGCATTTCAATAGATTGCACTTTCCTCTTGGCTGGAGTGCTGCTGCTGTATTAAGTGTTTAATATAACTTAGATTTGGACTCGGGTTTATCAGTCAAACGACTCTGCGCGTCGTCCAGAATCATCTGCTCAGATCAGCTGCAGTGACCACAACAAATGTAGTATTACTGTAGTACTGGGTGTGTGGAGGAAATGATTGGTTCTCTTTATTTCATCAGTTTGATCTGCTTTGGCTCCTTAAGCGGCATAAATGGACATGGAAATTAAACAGTTTGGCTGTTATTATTATTATTATTATTATTATTATTATTATTATTATCACACTGAAAGTGCCAGAAAGGGTCCTTTGCATGAGGCCATCGAAGAACCATACTTGGTTCCCTAAAGAACTTTTCACTGGATCCTTCTTTGAAGATTTGTAAATGAGTTGTGTGAGTGTCGAGAAGCTTTTTGAAGAACCTCTGCTGTAAAGAGCCCCAGAATAAGCAGAGAACCTTTTCATTATGTGAACTTTAAAAGTTAGCACACATCTCTTTTAAGAGCATGGTTCCTTAGGGAGCCAAAATGGTTCTCCTATGGCACAAAGAACCTCTTTTCTTCTTTTAAAGAGTATATTATTATTATTACTATTATTATTATTATTATTATTGCTGCTGGTGGTGTTGTTACATTGTTATGTTTCTGTTAGTGACAGTTCTTTTTTAATACTTCATTTCAAGATGATCAACAACAACAAAAAAAGCAAAGCTGAATAATCTATTTCTGCTCCGCAGCATTGTTGGTTATGAGAGCCTGTTGTGAGGGAATGAAGGGGGTCCGGCTAGAGAAAGTAGGCTAATGATCTGAGTTTCTGAGTTTTCTCCCCATTGCACCCCCTCTCTGCCCATGTGTAAGGGTGTGGAGGTGGGCTGGGGGGGCTGTAGGTGGGGGTTATGTGGGGGTAGATGGGGTTGGGGGGGCCATAGGGGGGCAGCAGCGTTGTAAAGTGGGCTGAAGTGAAAAGTGTGGTATGTTTTAACAGTGTGCGAGTGGGTGAATAGCCGTGGCTGCCTGATCCAGTGCAGGTGCAGGGAAGCACAGGGGGGATGGACCCCCCCCCCCCACACCCACACATACTCCCCTCACTGAGACCACACACTGCCAGCCAGCATGGCATCGGCTCCGCGCCTCACCGCGCTGCTCTTTAGGCCGGAGCGGATTTCTGATCCGCTGACCACTGGTATAAACCGCCTCTCAGAGATGCTGATGCACCTGTTTGATGTTCACTGTCCTGTTAAGTCCACAATCCAGAACTGACCACTGAGGTCTGTGTCGTAATAGACTGAAATACATTCTCTCATTTCTCAAACATGAAGGTGCTAGAAAAACATTTATTTGTGTTTAATTGGAGTTTTATTCATAGTGCTTCTAAGAAAGTACATGTACAGTCGTGTGCTAAAAGTTTGTGCGCCCCTGGTCCATGTTGTTGTTGATTTTGTAAGTGTAAATAAGTTACACGTCCTCTACAAAGAACAAATCTTTGCACATTTTAATGCACAATTACTGTTTATTTGCTCACTTTAACACATTGGGGGGTAAAAAAGAATAAAATGTGGTCTGTGCAAAAGTTATGGCACCTATATTTTACACATATACATACATATTTTTTCCCAGCGTGTTAAAGTACTAAATTATGCATTAACTGTTATGTCATTTGAGAAAATCAGCATGTAATTTGACCATGGATGTTCAAACTATTGCACACACCTGTATTTGTGCTTTTAAGGAGGCCAGTTTCCTTAACTGCCCTTAAAAAAAGTGGAGGTTCTCCAAGGGTTCTTTAGTAACGGCGGTGGTTGTATATAGAACCATGATTGTTTGAATGTTTCAGTGGTTCTATGCATTTGCATGCTTAAATTCTGCTGTTGTTACAAGCCCAAGAGCAATTTTCAGTGCAAGAAAAGTTTGAATCGTTTGTGGCTTTTAGGGAAAAATCTCAATCATTCTTATTAGGTTTTTTAAACTTTAAAAAAGTTCACACCATTACATTTACAGTGATTCCTAAGGAACCATCCACTTAGAAGATTCTTTAGGGAGGCCTAAGAACCCGCTTTGGAACCCGTATTTTTAAAAGAGTAGTAAAAAGCACAGCTCAGAAGTCTAAATCAAATTTTCTAGCAGTCAGGAATGTAGAAAGTAGCCATAATCAGTGAAACAGATTGCATTCTAATGCATGCAAACTCATATTAATGCACCACGCCTGCTTATTACTGAGCAGGACAGTTTATGCTCTATAAGCATTCCGGATTGAGCAGTGTGATATGACAGTACGCCAGAACGTGGCACTTACTGCAGCAGGTCTGAGACGTTTTCTTCAATTTCACTCACTTATGTGTGACACAATTTTCTTAATTGTGAGTGCAATGAATACACAGAGCAGCCTGCCAAGTGCTTACTGTTTCTTTTCTTTGAAAGCAGCAACAGAAAAGCCAGCTGTCAGAGGTGCCAACACTTTCCCTACAGCAGTGCTGTCATGCAGGGGCATGCATTAAACTAAACATCTGTAATCACACCTTTCCTCATTTATTTATTTTTTTTTTATTCATCTTATTGGTCCATGCGTCAAGCAGCCAATAAGCTCCGCGTGCTGCGTTTTTGTCAGAGCCTTTAAAAAACCTTAAACATAAACACTTTGTTTTCTTATTAATTGGAGTTAATGGCAGCGTAAGGGCGGATAATTGGCCCCCTTTTTGTCCTCGACGACAATGTAAATCAGCATCTCTTTATTATTTAATAAGGTCAGAACGCTTGGCTGCATTGGCCTGCCGAGCCTTTTCTCCACGTGCAGTCTTGTTCAGGGGGACGTGGTCTCGCGCAGACTCCTTTTTAAGCTCCGTTTTTGCACCAGAAACTCGACATCACCATCCACATCACCACCATCTTCGCTTTTTTTCCCCATTCTAAAGCCAAAGCGCGTCGCGTGGAGGACGCTGGTGGGCTTTGTGCCGCAAAATGCTGAACTGTGCTGAACTGGAAATAGTGGAAATTTCGAGTTTCTGTCTTTCGGAGCGCGTGGAGCAGCATGTGGGCTGGATGGAGCGAACAATCTGGGCTGCGCTGATGGTTCAGCCAGCGTTTTGTCCCTCCAGCACTTACTGCGCAGCAACAGGTTGAGAGAGAAAGCAGTGGTGGTGGTGGTGGTGGAGGTCAGGCTGCGGGGCCTCAAGCGCCATGCTGGGGACAATATGGGCTTAGAGTCCAGCAGGAGAGTCCAGCAGAGCTGTGGACACTTACTTACATTCACACATATAC